AGTTCTTTATGCCACTGAGCTGCAGTTAATCGATAAAATAATCAAATTTCTAATAGAGAGAATTTTGTAGCAGTTATTCTGAAATGGCGGGAATCAGTAATTACCCTCAAATAATAATTCGACGCTACTTCATTAGAAAAAAAGTATATCAATGAAATTTAGCTATTAATGTCTATGCATTAATATGTTTCATTCACGTGTAATGTTAGACCATTGGGAAATCTTGGGGCGTTGGCAGAACTAGGAAAAATTTTGCCGAAAAGATCTCTGTAGAGATCAATAACAGAAAAAAACTCCAAGCCTAAATCTTGATTTCACATAGTGAAATATAAGAGTTACAGAAAATACATCATTGAAAATTAGCAAAAAAACTAAATGAAAAAAATATTTAACAGTTTTTGTGTGATTGCCTAAGGTTTCTAAAATACCACCCCTAATACAGTATAATTGTTTGTACCAGTATTTTTTTACTCCTGTGAGACAAATTGTCAGAAAATACAAGTGACACTCACTCAGTGTGGAATAAAATTCAAACATAATAAACATTCGAGTACACTCTCTCAACTATAAGGATCAAAATACTGCATTTCTGTCCTAGTTCCACATTGATGGGTAATTGTCGCATACTTTCTAAACTGATGAAACAATTCCACCCACGTATTTAATTCCTAGTTAGAAGACTGTAGTGTAAATATTCACAGATGTAATATGGACGACAGCTCGTTATTTATACGTACACGACAATAAAGCGCAGAAATGATGCGGTTTTCATAATTGCATATGAAAAATATGTTTTATTTATATTTCATTTTATTTTATGTTTCATTTTATACCACATACAATATAACCGATGATGTTACAACAATAATACCACCTTGACCTGCCGGGGCACGCCCGACTAAAATCACTCATCCTAATCCATATCTCACGTCTTTAATCCAGCGTGTTATCGATTTTTGAATTATGCCACTGGACTATAAATATCATGTATAAATGTACGTATACGTTCAAGTAATATTTGGCAGTGCGAGGACGTCCGGCCACGGTGCATCGTTTTTTTTCTTTAAATAACAGTGAAACTGTTTCAAGAACTGGCCAGTGACACGTTTTATGTCGTTAATGTGGAGGTTGGTCGGTTAGTGTGATCTTGACGTAGCTCCGTCTACCTGCTTTAAAACGCATCTTCCGTATGTTTTCTGCATATATTTTAAAATAAAGACGATCGTGAAACGTGGAATGCGCATTAGGGTTATCCCGGTGATTCCCCTACGTGTCAGACTGACCTCCTGGATTGACCTATGCAGGCACAGTATACAGGGAGTCCGCGGCGCCGTATATAGGTCATCAAAATTATAATTTCGAGTTAATGAACACATGTAGTTTTACTTGTGATTCACCCATCTCCTATTGGGTGAGTCTAAGCAGGGGTAGAGCACAGATCTTCAATGAAACAACCGTCGGAAATGAGCTTATCGATAACATTTCTTACCCGATTGACTTGCGTGTTTACATCTAATACAGTGTGCTGAGAAGGTCAAATCTCAGACAGCGTGCTGAGAAGGTCAATGTTTACTTCCGGGTCAAAACATCGTTCAATTTTTTAACTGGCTGTTACGCAAATTGTTTTTTTAGTGAACTCTGGACATGTTATCTTTCATAGTCTCAAACTAAAAGTCAAGCGTTACTCACATTTCAATGTCGCCCACATTCCCACCGAAGAACATTTACATTCACGTAACTTGATGAGAACTCTCAACTCACATAGCGAGATTAAATGGCATTTAAACTTTGACCTCAACGATAAATAAACAAATCATAAAAGAGCACGATAGGCGAGCGGATACCTTTTTATACAAGATACGTCATCACTATTCGTGTGGCATTAATTCCTTCCACGGTTGTTTAGTAGACAAGCATCTTCTTTAACTGGTTTTCTGAAACAAGGAAATGCCGTCCCGGCGCGAAAGTCATTCAAATAAGCAGCTGAAACCGCTAAGATCCCCCTCCCCCCAAAATGCGTATTGTGTTAGGCATGCGTTATGTATCTTTCTACATTTGTTAATTTTGTATAGATGTAGTTATCCGAAGAAATATCCATGCCTGCCACCTCGTTTTTCGATAATGACTGCGATGGTTTTCCCATACAGAGTTGAAAGAGGGTCGGCAAGGGGTATTTTCGTAAGCTGTAATCAATTGTTTTTATTTTCGTAATTTAAATAAATAAAAAAACGTAAATTCGTAAACATGGGCAAGGTGTAAAACTTAATCAGCTCATTTCATCCGTCTGTAATTTGTACAAAGGTCTTATTTTTTGTAAGCATATAAAGCATTTTACAAATTAAATGTAATTCATACGCAGTTTCCAATTTTGATTCTCAATCACAAATTATTAAATATATTATAAAAATGTAAAATGTAATTAGCTTTATCTGTAAAGTGTAAAAACCTATTTTTACTGTAAATGTAGCTATGCTAATGAGTCCTGTTAATCACTTCTTAGTTTATTTACAAGCTGATACCTATAATCATTAAAGTATATAACGGGCCAGTCAGACTTGCTTCCATAGAGCACAGACCTGAGCTGCATAGGCATTCCGTAATGACTAGCTAATATGGAGCGTGTTACAAATGGCATTGGCCATTTCTTTGAATTGCGTTTATTTCAACAATTTTTATCATATCCATTTTCCACCCTCGTATCGTTGAACTACGAACAGTGATGACCACGATGCACGTACGCTTAGGATGTTTTCAAGCTCGCTACGGTCAACAATAAAAAACAAATTTTACACTGCACGGTTTTCACACTTCCACTCGCATGTATGCTGCTAGTTGTACCGTGCAATAGTAAAGATAATAAATTTCAGACGATGCATCACTGCGTGCGAAAACATGATGACCGACCACAATCACTTGCCGTAACGCAAAATAAAACTGTTATATGCCGACTAGAGTACATTTCCTAATGTACACAGAGCCGGTTATACAAGGAAAGTCGCAACTTGTATTATCTAAAATAAAATTTGTTCACCTATTGTTAGCGTGACTCTAAATGTTAGATTCAGTAGTCAAGTTAAAAAAATAATTTTAAACAAAATTGTCACCATTTAGCTATGGACCGTTGCGTGGGCATTTGCCGTTTTCTTAAACACATGTGAAAAAACACACGGAGAAGCCAGGAAATTAATTCGTATTGAGTCATATGTAACGTTATTGGTCCGTCACCGGCAACTCTAGAGATCGTCTGGTCCATGTCACATTCCTTTTCCATTTAATGTTATATGCTGCGCTAATTCCGGAATACGCTCTATATCACCAAGTAACGATAACCAATACTAAACACAGTATTCAATTTATTAAAAGACGACTAAGGGTATTTCTGGCTCGTACTCTCTGTGGCCACATCGATTGACAGCAGTTAATTGTTCAAGCTTAGCACCGCGTCTCTTTTTCTGGTTCGTATTTTTGACGTTTATCCGACAAAATCTCAACTCGTACACTATATATTGTTATAAATACTATATATAATCACTGCTGAGATATTCATAGTCACATACATCCAGATTGGCACGACATAATCGACCTGTAAGTTCGAGAAAACGCGTCTTTACCGGAGCTTGGCTGGAGCTGTTTACTACAGCGTGACTTTCAAGGAAATAATCCCTATTGTTTAGAAGCGTATTTATAGTATACCTGGGCCTTTATGTCACTTGAACACTATGGGCACACAAAACATCGGGTGTAATTCATTGGAATTGTCTTGAATAATTGAATCAGTATTATTTATTATATATTTTTCAGAACTTGAGTTGTCACGTTTTTTGTCTTGATTAACCGATGAATTAATCGATTTCAATATTCGATCCATTTCGTATCTCGAAATATCAAAACGTGAAATGAATAGAGGACAGGAGATATATTAATGACCCTTATTACTAACCGCTAAATTTATTATATTCAGACAACCAGCTGACGTTCAGCTAATCATGCCATAACAAAACATATTTAACGTTCATACAAAGGTTGTATCATCCGCGACAATCACGTAGTTTTTTCTACTTTGGCAGGTTTCAAAAAATCACTCAATAGCACGAAACGTTGGTATATATTCAGAAGGTATTGGATTTTCAATTATTCGTCATGATTATCTAAATCTTACGATCGTTCGACCAAAATTATTTAAGTCTTGTCTGTTTTATAACATTTTGTATTTTACTGAATTAATTCAAAACAATTAGCTTGCGAGTAAGTACTTACATGTACAAGTCATGTCTCATGTAGAGTACAGCCACTGAATTGGATCGTGAATTTATTTCATAGTCAAATTATACCAGACTGATACGACTGACGTAGTTATTTTCGAATCAATAAAACCACGTCGTACTATTGTCTTAATTTTTGATGATCTCTGTCCAAAAGTGAGCTATTCAGCATTGCCTTTCTCGAGTAACCACGAAATGCTCAAACAGTTGTTTATGTCAGTCTGTCTCCATTTCATTTGCATAAAATAAAGTAATATATTTACTCAGAAAATCAGAAGAAATTTGGGGTATCAGATCACGTAACATGAGGTCAACGCTCAAGTTGCGTTTGCAATGTATCATACGCTTTGAAATTGAGCAATAACCATATTTTTCATTTGAAAAGATTCCGCTACATAAAAAAGATACCATTTAAGTTTAATTTTTCTAAAAGAGATTCAATTGACCATTTTCTGGCAATGTCACGGATATAAACGTGTTCATTTATTTGTCACTCCTAACATCTCTCATATAGACCACTGTTACAGCCACCATAACAAGATTGTTTTGCAGCAACTGATATGCATGAAATATTGAGGTTTTGGCACTAATTGCCATTAATGCCATAGTACGTATTTCAATGATGGAGTTGACCGCAAGGTGGCCGTGCATGCGCAAACAATAATTTTATTAACTGTTCTTAGGAAAACTCCGAACAAAGTTTTTTCTGATGAGCGATCTGTTATCTCGCTGTGTACGCGCTTCCCAAATAGCCAGATATTGTGGACTGCAAAATAACATCTATTACTGTAACAACAGTATTGAAGTTGATGAACACGATTAAATCGATAATCTGAATAGCCTAAACACAGTCATGTGAGCATACATGTTAAATATCAATTGGGTAATCATCTTACCTATATTTTGGATTGACCTGCTCAGCAACACACAAGTCTAGTTTATAATGCGGTGATGGTATTTTACGTATAGAAACTTTTCACAACATCGTTAACTTTACAGTATATTAGGTAGAGCATGTCATATTAATGTTCTGCAGGTTGAGCGAAAGTCAAAGTTTGTGGTAAGTAGCATGGGTTAACCATTAACATTTTCCTTTCTACGGAGTTCTTTGAAATTGCTTTTAAATGAGATTACCATAGTGCGAACTAAATGAGTGAACCAAACCAGTACCTCGATGCCACTTCATTGATAAAAGCGCTTTTGTGTAAACAAAATATGTACATATACTTCCAGTCTGAGGAATCCAGTACGAGGCAGCTTAAACTATGGTTTATTTTCGCAATAAATAAAACGTATCTCGTCTTCACATTCAATGGTTAGTTTGCTACAAACAGGAGTTTCAGTATATCACGAAAATGTTTAATTGT